GGAGAGGGGGAGGGAGGGGAAGGGGGAGAGGACGGGTAGTCAAGGGGAGGAAGAGGGAAGTGGAGGGAAGGACAGGGAGGTACAGGGAGAGGGAAGGGGAGGGAGAAGGAGATGAGGACGGCGAAGGAAGATGATGGAGAGGGGAGAGGGGAGGGGGAGGGAGAGGGAGAGAAGGAAAAGGGGTTCGATAGGTGGCATTATAATGGCAAATGTATGAATGTTTTTAGAAAGCTGGGAAGAGCAAAGGGCAGGAACACGCACGCACGCACCCGCCCTTCCCCCCTCTCCCCCTCCTCTTCCCTCCCCCTCCCTTCCCTTCCCCCCTCCCTCCTCCCCTCCTCCTCCCTTCCCCCCTCCCTCCTCCTCCCTTCTCCTCCCTCCCCCTCCCTTCCCCTCCCTCCCCCTCCCTTCCCCTCCCTCCCCCTCCCTCCCTCTCCCTCCCCTTGCACACTGACAGACAGACAGACAGGCGGATTTAGAGAGACAAAGAGAGGAAATGCAAAGGAAGCGTTAAGTAAGAAGCACCGAGGCAGGTGTTCGAGTGTTTCCTTATGCAGAGATCGGGTGTCCTCCGTGCGTGAGATGGGGGGGAGGAGAAGGAGGAGGAGGAGGAGAGGAAGGAGGGAGGGAGGAGGGGGAGGAGGGAGGGGGAGGAGAGGAAGGAGGGAGGGAGAGGGAGGAGAAGGAGGAGAGAGGGAGAAGGAAGAGGAGGGAGGGAGGGAGGGAGGAGGAGAGGGGGAAGGAGGAGAGGAAGAGGAAGGAGAAAGAGAGCGAGACCGAAGGGAGGGATTCTAGGAACAGAAGGGGGAGGAAAGTGAAGTGTATTTTAAGTGTGAAACGAATTTTCATCGAACTTGGAAGAACACAAATACGGATAAATGGAGCAAGTATGTACACGTGCATTTATGTATGTATGTATGTACGAGTTTGTATGTATGTGTATGTACGTTTATGTGTGTGTGTGTGTATATATATATGTGTGTGTGTGTGTGTGTGTGTGTGTGTGTGTGTGTGTGTGTGTATAATGAGTGCATTTGCTTGATATTATTTGGTTCCTTGTTCCAGGTGTTACTTTGTGGGGTAGTGAGAGGCACGTGGGCGTGGGGGGAGGGGGGAAGGGGGGGGAGGACTTCTCTTTGTATTTCCGTTCTTGGATTTTTTTTCTGAACGAGATTTTTTCTCGTATACCTTTTCTCTTTATACCCTTCTTCTTCTTCTTTTCTTTTGTCGCCTCCATGTGCCATTTTTTTTCTTTTCTTGTTCTCCATCGTTTCTTTTCCTCCTCCTCTTCTACCTTGTTCCTCCATCTCTCTTCTTTTTTCACCATTATCATCATCACTTCTTCTTCTCCTCCTCCTCTTTCTCCTCCATCTCCTCCTCCTCCTCCTCCATCTCCTCCTCCTCCTCCTCCTCCTCTCCTTCCTCCTCCTCCTCTCCTTCTTCCTCCTCTCCCTCTTCCTCTCCTTCCTCCTCCTTTTCCTCCTCCATCTCCTCCTCCTCCTCCTCCTCCTCCTCCTTATCCCCCCCCTCCCCCTTTCATCTTCATCATCTCTTTCGCCTTCATCTTAATCATCATCTTTTTCTTCCTCATTTATATTAACCTTTCATATGTTAGCAATTTCGATAATGATACGTTTGGAGTTTGTTGGCGAACCTGAGATCTCTGGCCCGAGCCTCCTCTGGCGCTTCAGACGAGGCTCTTGGAGGCGCTGAAAGGAAACAGCTGTTATTGTCGCTCTGTGAAAGAAGGATGATGGTGGTGGTGATGATGGTGATGGTAATGTTGGTTATGGTGGTGATGGTGATGACGATGACAATGATTGATGATGATGATGTTAAAGGATGATGATGGTGGTGATGGTGATGACGATGACGATGACGACGACAATGATTGATGACGATGACGATGATGTTAAAGGAGCATGATGACGGTGATAGTGATGATGATTATGGTGGTGATGGTGATGACGATGACGATGACGATGATTGATGATAATGATTAAAGATGATGACGATGATGAGAATAAAGGAGAAAGTGAATAAAAAAAAACAAGAGACAATGAAAAAACAAAGAAAATGTAGAGAAAATAGTAAAACGTTGAGAGATACGAAACGCAGCGTTAGAATTGGTCGAGTTCCCTTGCGAAGCGAAAGAGAGAGAAAGAGAGAAGAGAAGGAAAGAGTAAGGAAGATAGTACAAGAAAGAAAGAAAGAGGAGGAGGAAACGAAAATGTAGTTGAGGGAGGAACAGAAAGAAGAGGAACGTGGGAAGAGGGAGAACGGAAAGAGAAGAGAGAGAGAGAAAGAAGAGAAGGGAAGGGAAAAGTAAGATGATGATACAAGAAAAGGGATAATGCAAGAAATAACGGCAAGCATGAGAGGGGGGGGGGGGAGTAATAGGAATAGATGGGGGGATGGAAGAGAACGGAGAGAGGAAACGTGGAGGAGGAGAAGAGACGAATACGTGATAAGTGATAAATGCTACAAAAAAGAGAAGATAATAATATTAACCTTAAAGGGAGGAGGGGAGAGAGAGGGAGAGGGGAAGGGAGGAGGGGGAAGAGAGGAGAGGGGGAGAGAGGGAGAGGGGGAAGTGTTGAGAGGCAGAAGGAGGGGGAGAGGGGAAGGTAGGGGAGAGAGAGGGAAGGGAAAGGGGAAGGGAGGAGGGGAGAGAGAGGGAGAAGGGGAAGCGTTGAGAGGGACAGGGAGGGAGAGGGAAGGAGGAGGGGGAGGAGAGGGGGAAGGGAAGGACGAGGGGGGAGAGGAGGAGAGGATGGAAATCCGGCCTCAAGGTCACGGCTGCTTTTGACCGCCCATGAAATTTAGATGAGGTAAAAGAGCTTCAAAATTTCACAGAAAGAGAGAAGAAATAAAAAGGTAAATAAACAGAATAAAAAGGGGGCAAAAGAATGACGGAAAATAGCTTTGAAAGAGGGAAGGTCCGTCAGATCGGCGGGCGTGATAGACCGTGAGAAGGCGTGGTGGTGATACGGAGTTTAATGGGCGTGGAAGGGGTGTGGGGGGAATGGGGTGTATGTGGGGGGGGGGGGCTGGATGAGTAGGGTGGTGGGGTGGGGGAAGGCTTTAGGGGGAGGGGGAGGGGGTTAGGGGGAGGGGAAGGAAGAGGTTAGGGGGAGGGGGGAGGTGGAGGTGTTAGAAAAAAATCTCACGGACTTTTTTTTATTTTCTTTGCTTGTATATTGATTCTTTTTTTTTTCTTGTCCTTCGAACTTCCTACTGTTAATGCCCCCCCCCCCTCTCTCTCTCTCTCTCTCTCTCTCTCTCTCTCTCTCTCTCTCTCTCTCTCTCTCTCTCTCTCTCTCTCTCTTCTGTCTCTCTCTCTCTCTCCCCGCTTTCTCTCGATTGTTTTCTTTTGTTTTGTATTTGTTTTTCTTCTGGCTCGGTTGATTAATTCTCGATTCCCTTATCATCCCTTCTTCTTCAGTTTTTCCTCCTCCTCCTTTTCGCTTCGTCCTTCTCGTCGTTCCGTTTTCCTCCTTCTCCTCCCTCCTTATTCTTCCTCAGATTTCCCTATAAACCCCTCGTTTCCCCTTTCTCCCCCAACCTTTCCACCCCCCCCCCCCTCTCGCCAACCCCTTCCTCCTCCACCTCCTCCTCATCCTCATCCCCACCTCTTCCTCTCTCCTCCTTCAACCCTTCTTCTCCTCAACCCCTTCCTCCTCCTCCTCCACCTCTTCCTTCCTTCTTCCCCTCCTTCCCCATCCCCTTTCCTCCTCCTAGTCCCCCACCCCTTCCCCCTCCCTCCACCCCCTCCCCCACACCCTATTTCCACCCCATCCTGCCTCCTTCCTTCTTCCTCCTCCTCCTCCCTTCCTCCTCCTCCTCCTCCCTTCCTCCTCCTCCTCCTCCCCCCTCCTCCTCCTCCTCCTCCTCCTCCTCCTCCCCCCACCTCCTCCTTCCTCCTCCTCCTTCCTCCTCCTCCCCCTCCTTCCTTCTTCCACCCTCTTCCTCTCTCCTTCCTCCTCCCCCCCCCCCCCCCCACTTAATCCCTATAGACCTCCTTATGCAAAGTAAAAGTTGAAGATTCTTAAAAGGGTTTCTGTGTTCTGCAGTGCACGTGATCAAATTTTCAGAGGCCAAGCGAACGTGACCTTGGCGGCACTCCCAGCATTAGGGAAGGGAGGAGGGAAGGGATAGGAGGAGGGAGGGAGGGAAGGAAGGAAGGGATAGGAGGAGGGTGGGAGGGAAGGAGGGTAGGAGGAGGGAGGAGAAGGGAGGGGATGTAAGTGAGTGAGTGAGTGAGTGTGTGTGTGCGTGTGTGTGTATGTGTGTGTGTGTGTGTGTGTGTGTGTGTGTGTGTGTGTGTGTGTGTGTGTGTGTGTGTGTGTGCATACGTGCGTGCGTGGATGTGCGTGCGGGCGTGCGTGGTTGTGTGTGCGGGCATGCGTGGGTGTGTGGGTGTGTGTGCGAGCATGCACGCGTGCGTGGGTGTGCGTGCGTCGCGTGCACGCGTGTGTATCTCTGTCTGTGTGGCGCGCGTGTCTTCCAGGCACGGAAGAGTACAGCAGCTCGCACTACCCACGGCCGTTCCTGTCATTATCGTAATTAAGTGTTTTTGTAAAGCTCCCTCAACATCTTTCGTTCTCCTGTTTCTTCCTCTCCCCTTTTTTGCTCTTACATCAAAAGTACCTCCTCGTTTATCTCCGGAATCGAGAGCAGCGACCGAGGCCCGAGCAAAAAGGCAGAAGGCACTTGAGGGAATTCGTCGTCGGAGAAGGATAGTCATAAACACGGAATTGCCTTCGTAAATAATCATGATCTTATACAGTCCTTTATGGCGCGATTCCGACCCTTACGCTTACGGGATCAACTCAAGCCTGTTGCATTAAATTCGGGACAACAAACAGCCATAAGCAATAAACATGACAATAAAAAAGACGATAAAAAGGACGATAAAAAGGAGAGCCATTTGTGAATACGCGTACCCACGAAGGCCCTCTGCCGCCGCTCGCCCTCATCCCAATAAACTCTTCTTGTGGTCAGTCGAGGAGTTCCTTATTGCGTCTATTCCCCTTTTTCCGAGGTTTTATGGGTTTCTGCTTGTTCTGCTTGTTCTGCTTGTTCTGCTTGAGGCGGCGACAGGAATTCCGGCGGCAGGTGTCAGCGGCGTCGGTGGCGTCGGCGTCGGCAGGAATTGTTGCGTCTGGCAAGCTCTTCGAAGTGGAACTGGTGGCGTCGTGATATAAGGAGAGGTTCGGCGGTTCGTGGTGGTGGTGGGGGAGGGGGGGGTTGGATTGCGGGGGAGAAGGGAGGGAGGGAAGGAAGGAGGGGTGTGTGTGGGTGAGGGGCAGGAAGAAAGGGGAGGGAGGGAGGGAGGGAGTGATCGCGCGGGTGACTGTCCCGAAATTGCTTTTTCATTCTCCATCCGCGGCGTCAGTAGGTAGTATGCTAACCCTCGAGAAGACGCGGCGTGATGTGACGTGACGTGAGGTGAGACGAGGTCGTAAATTTTCATTCTGCGCTCAATATCCCGCGTCTCTTGGGAAGGGGCGTGCTTGCAATCGTGAAAAGGCGCTGCGGTTAAACGTGGCTGATCGGGTGGTATTGGGACGGCTTGAGGGTTTGCCGTCTCTTTTTCTCTTTCCTTTTCCTTATATTCTTTTTTTTTACCTTGTTCCTAGTGGGTCATGTATTTACCTACTCCCCCTCCTTCCCCCTCTTGCCCCTCCCCTCACCTCCCCTCCCCCCTCTCCTCTCTCACCCAAGATCGTGAACTCTTAGAGGGAAAAAAACGGGAAAAAAACATAGCATTATTTCACCTTAAATCATCATCATCATCTATTACTGCCCCCCCCTCCAAAAAAAAAGAAGAAGAAAGAAAGAATGAAAAAAAGAAAAGGAAAATGAGAGAATAATAATAATAAAAAAAAACAGCAAGAAGGAAAGGCAAAGAAAACAAGAAGAAAGAGAAAGAAAATCCAAACGTTTGTCAGTTGCAATTACGGTATCAGACGGGAATAATTGGATCCGCAAATTGCGTTCGCCTCAAGTTTTTTTTTCCTTTTTTTTGTTTTCATCGCGTCGAGGAAAATGGCCCGAGATTGGCGGGATCCTCTCTAGGCCTCGTGCGTCTTGCTTATCGGGCTCTGCTGACGGCGCGGAAGGTTTGATGGAGAGAGTTGGTGGGGGGACTTCCCGGGCTGTGGGAGGGGAGGGGAAGAGAAGAGAGAGCTTGGCAAGGCATGGCAGAGCTTGGCAAGGCTTGGCAGGTGTTGGCAGGGCTTGGCAAGGGTTGGTAGAGCTTGGCAGGGCTTGGCAGGGCTTGGCAGGGCTTGGCAGGGCTTGGCAGAGCTTGGCAAGGGTGGGTAGAGCTTGGCAGGGCTTGGCAGAGCTTGGCAGGGCTTGGCAGGGCTTGGCAGAGCTTGGCAAGGGTGGGTAGAGCTTGGCAGGGCTTGGCAGAGCTTGGCACGGCTTGGCACGGCTTGACAGGGCTTGGCAGGGCTTGGCAGGAGCGTCAGAGTTTGTCATGAGCTCGCTAGGGGAGACAAAGCATGGAAGAGGAGGCGTAGCTTGGCAAAGTTTGGGAGGGGAAGTAGATCCTGGCAAGGGAGGCAGGGTGAAGGCGGAGAGGAGGCAGAGGGCGACGGCGATGCTGCTGCTCTCCCGCGTTCGTCTTCGCCTCTTGTTGCCAAAAAGGACTAAAGGGGTTAGTATTACCGGAGCTTCCAATGGCTTCTATTTTTAGTTTCGTTTTTTTCTCTCTCTCTCTTCTTATTTCTTCTTCGTCTTTTGGTCAGGTCAGAAAGGATAGTTCAAATGTGTTATTGTACGTCCATCTGTTCTTATTTGGCGATTTTTAAAATTATTATTATTATCATTAATATCATCATTATCATTTATTGCGCGGAAGTTCGTATACTCTTGGTTCATCTTCTGCGCTTCAAGTTCAGGTTCGACTCAGTTTCGAAGCGGCTGGTTGTCAATTTGAATCCCGGATTTTTTATCGCTTCCGGTAATTTTGGCCGCATTATTTTTAGGGGGGGGGGTGCCTGCGTCCATATTTGCATGTTATTATGTCTTGAGTAATATTTCATCGGAATAGCGGAGGAAAATAGTGTATTTAGTGGTTTGTAAGAAAAAAAAGACGTTCCATGTTATTTGACGGTGGATTAAATTATGAACCGGGTCAGGAAACGGAGTCCATTTTCCAGAACTCGATTACGTGAATTCTCTCCTCCTTCGCACGTCGTTCTCTTTGTCTTTAGTTTATCTTTATTTTCTCTCTCCCTCATTTTTTTTTTTTTTTTTTTTTTTTTTTGGGGGGGGGGGGTTACTTTAGGCTGTCGTTGCATAAGACTCAATCATTCTATAAGACGTATGGCGTACGTGATCTTTTCTTCCATTAGATATTAAGGACGACCTGTTATCTACGACCTGTCCAGCAAGTCATTTCGTCAAAAGTCCCCCTAGACCCCCCACCCCACACCCCTGCAGGTCATCTTACCCAAGAGTACCCCCTGTGAGGTCGTTTTCTATGGAAGTACCTTCTTGAGACGACCTCCCTTCGCGGTGACAGGAAGTCGTTCGGCAAAACAGCTTCATTCTTCTTCGTCGGCTTCATTTTTGATTGTCTTAATGCCGACGTTTGTGTGCTTCGGTAATTGTCGATTTTTACGTTTTTTTTTTTTTTTTTTTTTTTGGGGGGGGGGGGGTGTTAGGGAAATTGGCTCAGGTTGGTGGATTCTACAGCGACGTCGATTATCGGTTATTAAGCTTGTTTGGAATGGTGGGAGAAGATGAAAATAGTAATTAGTGTAATTAGTGCAGGTGGATTCGGCAGTTGATTGGGGTTGATTTCGTGATGTCTTTTAAGAGGTAGTTTCTGTGTTTTTTGTTTGGTTCCTTTTTTTCTCCCCCTAATCTATTCTACTTCTCATTTATTTGTCCCCTTCTCGTTTTCTGCCTCTCCTTCTCCTGGTCGTTTCCCCTCTCCTTCATTTTTCTTTCCTTCCCCTATCCTCCTTTCCCCTTTCCACTCTCTCCCCTTTTGTCCTCCTTTATCCTCCTCCCCTCCCTACTTCTTTCCTCTGCCTTCCTCCTCCCCTCTTCTCACTCCTCCCTCCCTCCCCGCTTCCCCCCCCCCTTCCTACCTCTCCTCTTCCCTCTTCCTCCTACTTTTAATCCACTCCCTCCCTCCTCCCTTTTCTTTTTCCCCTCATCCTTCCCCCCTCCCCCTTCTCCCTCTCCCTCCTTTCCACACACCCTTCCCCCTTCCCTTCTCCCTCCCTTCCCCTTCTCCCTCTCCCCCTCCTCCCCACCCTCTCCCCCTCCTCCCCCACCCTCTCCCCTCCTTCCCCCTCCCTTCTCCCCCTCCCCGCCTCTCCTGTCCATCACGCCGACAGTGAAGCATGACCTCCTCGCCTCCGTTTTCTCTTCCTTTTGCGCCGTCAGCACACCGCAGGTAAGAATAAGGACGTGGAGAGGGAAAGGAAGATGATAATGATGATGATGATGATGATGATGATGGTAATAGGAAAAATGGTAATAATAATGAAGATAATGATAATACCAATAACAATAATGATGATAGTAATAATGATGATGAAAATAATATTATAGTAATAACAACAATAATAGCCACAACAACAACGATAATAAAACAGAGAGATGGAAGCCCACGCGAAGAAAACGGGGCCGGGGGTTCAGCAGTCGGTGATGGCGGACCAAATTGCTTCCATTTTCGGAGAGGAGCGCAGGCAAGAAGTGTGTGCGTGCGTGTGCGTGTTTGTGTGTGTGTGTGAGAGGGAGAGAGAGGGAGAGAGAGGGAGAGGGAGAGAGGGAGAGAGGGAGAGAGGGAGAGGAGGGAGGGAGGGAGGGAGGGAGGGAAGGAGGGAAAGGAGGGAAGGAGGGAGAGGAGAGAGAGAGGGAGAGGAGGGAGAGAGAGGGAGAGGAGGGAGAGAGAGGGAGAGAGAGGGAGAGAGAGGGAGAGAGAGGAGAGAGAGGGAGAGAGGGAGAGAGAGGGAGAGAGAGAGAGAGAGAGAGAGAGAGAGAGAGAGAGAGAGAGAGAGAGAGAGAGAGAGAGAGAGAGAGAGAGAGAGAAAGAGCTTATGTGTATCTACATATTAAGCATATACGCACTAAAAAAGAAGAGTAAAACAGATAGCACCGAAGAACCATTATTTTTAACGAAACATATTATGATAAATAAGCAAACCAAAATTATACATTGAATTGTAATATAGGTAAACAGTAAGCTAACTTTAAATACCATTAAGGAAATACCTATTACAAAAAAAGAAAAAAGATAAATAAAAAAAAAAATAAATAAATAAATATATAAAATAAATAAAGAAAATAATAATAACAATTTGTCGAAAGCAACAATGTTTTTATAGCAGTCCGAGAAGATAGAAATCGTCCGAAAATCGGCACTTCCTCCCCCCTCGCGAGATGACGGGCGGAGGCGATCAAGGCCCGAACGCGGAAGAGGGGATCGGCGTGTCGGGGGGTGCAATATCCGGTACTGTTTAGCTTGACGGCCGAGTGTCAGGTGTCATGACGTGCAGCAGAGATGTCTTTTTTTTATTCAATATATATTTTCTCTTTTTTTTTGTTTGTTGTCTGTTTCTTGTTTGTAATTAAGGGAGTGACTGCAAGAAGGTTAATTTGATTTTAGGTACGTGGTCCTTTTTTTTTATCAGGAGGAGGATGTTGATGTTGTGAAGATATTTTGGTTTTAAGGTGAATGATTCGATGTTTTCGGGGAGGGAGTAAGGGAGAGGGAGAGAGAGAGAGGGAGAGGGAGAGGGAGAGGGAGAGGGAGAGGGAGAGAAAGAGAGAGAGAGGGAGAGAAAGGGGAGGAGGGAGAGGAGAGAGGGAGAGAGGAGAGAGGGAGAGAGAGAGAGAGAGAGAGAGAGAGAGAGAGAGAGAGATGAGAAGAGATTATGTGTATCTACATATTAAGCATATACGCACTAAAAAAGAAGAGTAAAACAGGTAGCACCGAAGAACCATTATTTTTAACGAAACATATTATAATAAATAACCAAACCAAAATTATACATTGAATTGTAATATAGGTAAACAGTAAGCTAACTTTAAATACCATTAAGGAAATACCTATTACAAAAAAAATAAAAAAAAAAGAAAAAAAAAGAAAAAATAAAAAATAAATAAATAAATAAATAAAATAAATAAAGAAAATAATAATAACAATTTGTCGAAAGCAAGAATGTTTTTATAGCAGTCCGAGAAGACAGAAATCGTCCGAAAATCGGCACTTCCTCCCCCCTCGCGAGATGACGGGCGGAGGCGATCAAGGCCCGAACGCGGAAGAGGGGATCGGCGTGTCGGGGGTGCAATATCCGGCACTGTTTAGCTTGACGGCCGAGTGTCAGGTGTCATGACGTGCAGCAGAGATGTCTTTTTTATTCAATATATATTTTCTCTTTTTTTTTTTTTTTTTTTTTGTCTGTTGTCTGTTTCTTGTTTGTAATTAAGGGAGTGACTGCAAGAAGGTTAATTTGATTTTAGGTACGTGGTCCTTTTTTTTTATCAGGAGGAGGATGTTGATGTTGTGAAGATATTTTGGTTTTAAGGTGAATGATTCGATGTTTTCGGGGAGGGAGTAAGGGAGTAAGGGAGAGAGAGAGAGGGAGAGGGAGAGGGAGAGGGAGAGGGAGAGGGAGAGAAAGAGAGAGAGAGGGAGAGAAAAAGAGAGAGGGAGAGAGAGAGAAAAAAAAAAGAGATAGAAAGAGAAAGGGAGAGGGAGGGAGGGAGGGAGGGAGATAGAGAAAGAGAAAAAGAAAAAGAAAAAGAGAGGGATCAGATGAAGGAAGGAATATATGGACAGAGACATAGGTAGAATTAGTGGGAAAGGAAGAGGGAGATAGGAAAAAGAAAGAGAAAAAAAAAATGCCACAAAACAAACCTAACCTTCTTTGATCATTACGAAAGAGAAACACGAACTACTAAATCGTCATGGCCTGGATCTCCAAGCAGTGATCACCTCGGCCGCCACGAAGCACAGAACACGCGCCGCCGCCATCACTCAGTCGCAAACAACCAGCTGGCACGTGCACCCCCCTCCCCCCACCTCCTCCCCCTCCCCCCCTCCCCTCGTCCCAGCAGGTGGCACTACTGAGACCCTGGGTGGCCCTGCTGCGGTTGATGGAGCGACGGAGGCACGAAGTCACAGGAATCACCCTTGGCTTTTCCGGAATGGCGGGTTAAATGGCTTGAGTGAGAAAATGGCGCGCGTGCGGCTTGGCGAACGAGCTAAGGGGGGTGGGGGTATGGGTGGGGGTGGGAGGAGAGGGGAGGGTTCGGCAGGGTAAAGATGGGGGGAAGGGGGAGGGTTCTGTGGAGAGGGGAGGGTTCAGAAGGGGGGATGAGGGGGGGTTAGGGAGGGCATGGGAGGAGGGTAGGGGGAGGGTAGGAGGCACGCACTTGAATCTAGTGCCTCGATAAAATGGGTTGAAATTTAAGGGGGTACTTTTGAGGTATGTAGGGAGGGGGGGGGAGACCGACGACGTCCCCGCCAGCCGGAAGTGGCAGCGGGGATCGTGAGCAACAAAGAGGCGCTCGGTCCTGCTTTTTACCGTTTTGCCTTCCGCCGGCGTCGTGGGCTGCATCCTCCTCTTTTGCCTTGCTGGTCGTGCTTGGTTTCTCTCTCTTCCTCTGTTTTCTTTTTTCGTCTCTTTCTCTCTTGTCAATTTATCGGTCTTCTCTCTCTCTCTCTCTCTCTCTCTCCTCTCTCTCTGTCTCTCTCTCTCTCTCTCTCTCTCCTCTCCCTCTCCCTCTCCCTCTCCCTCTCCCTCTCCCTCTCTCCCTTTTCCTCTCTCCTGCTCTCCCTTTCTTCTCTTTATCACTCAATTTTGGCGACTCTCATGTCTTTCCCTCCGCCATTCATATTTTTTTCTCCTTTCTTAGATTTCAGTGACCAGGTCTTCTTGAACAAATTCGTATTCAAAGGACTTTTTTGAAGGTGAATTTTACTTCAGGTCGAGTTTCTGAGAACAGCGAGGAGAGAGGGACAGGTGGGACCAATTGCTATTTATTTTTTCATATTCCCTTCTGACATGACACTTTTTTATGTATATTTTTTCATGTTTAGTGTTGGAAGACGTTTTGGGGATGTTTATATAGGTGGTTCCTTGCGGTTTCCTCGCTGTCGACGTCGTATCCATCTATGAAAGTGGCCCTATAAAACTCGTCAGTGAGGCGTCGACCTCCTGTCACCGAAGACAAACAGCGAATCCCTTTCAAAATACATGAACCATAATGTTGATTATAGGTTATGGGCCCCAATGCCTGGCGTCTCTTGCTAACCATGCTTTCGAGTGGAAGGAAAGGAAAGTGAGTGTTAGGAAAAGAGACATCGCGGCGAGTATTGAGAGAGGATAATCAGTGGATCGGATAAGAAGTGGGTGGCGGAGAGCTTGTCAAATGTTGCGTGATGGGGCGGGATCTGTACCGTTGGCGTGCACGTCGCGAGGCTGTGATTTTCCGGTGGTCACAGCTGAGGAATGTTTACAAGTTGAGGGCGAGTGTAGCACTGTCATCTCGATTTTTTTTTCTTTTTCTTTTTTTGATAGTGCACGCGCATCATTTCCTTGGTGG